GTGTGTGTGTGTGTGTGTGTGTGTGTGTGTGTGTGTGTGTGTGTGTGAGTGAGAGAGAGGTATTGTTGATGCTGTAGCAAGGGAGAAATGTGATTAAAGCCGGTCTAATCTATATTTTTATATTACCAATGACGATGTGTAATCTGAAAGGGCTTGTCTCGGCATTTCAGTGTCTTTCAGCAACTTGACTGTTTTGTATTCTCCTATTGCTCTTATCTGTCTTTTCTTTTCCTGTACTCTACCCGATCAGCACAAAACAGTAGCGTCAAAGTTAGCAACTATACTGTAGCCAGATATTTCCCTTCAGAGTTGGCGGAGACCAAAACAGAAGTAAAATTACAGGGATTATTGGACTTCAAATGAAAGCTAATGTTGCTCCGTGTCTGCTGGTTGCGTAAATGTTTGCCAACACATAAGCCAAATCAGCTTTATATGGTGACAACATCACCAACAGCAGTGATGTGTTTACAGTTTGATGTGCAGTCCCCAAATGCTGTGGCTTTTATTATGTTATCTGCTATGAAGTGTCTGATTTGAGTCTCTGGTTATTTATGCATGGGTAACTAAACTAGAAGTCCCTCTCAAGACTAATAAAGTAATCTAAAAGATATAATAGGATACCATATGATATAATGAAAATGTGATTATTACCCATGAGGGTATGTATTTCTCTTAGCATTTATTGGTAGGAGTCCATAGAAAAATGAACATTTCTACATTTCCACTTACAGTAATGTCAAGGACAAATCAGATGAGAAACGAACCTTATTCTGTTTTAGAAATCTTTTACAAAAACACCAATAGAAGGTTCACATGTTGCAGAATCTACTCGGTACAAAGAATCCTACAAAAAAAGAAAATAACTTCGAGAGCGTAGCTATTTCTCACCCTGTTGGAGTAGTGGTAAAAGAGTGAATAATGTTGCTTACAGAGTGCTGAATGTCAGTAAGGACTGAGTATTCGTGTTCAGTTCTTTGTGTAATAAAACTCTTTACTCTCACGTTGCCCAGGTATCCCTCTCCCTCCTCGTCTCGATTGAAAGGATCCACTAAATAGCTCGACCTTCGCCTATTCTCACATGCTACACGGTATTAATGCAGCGATTTTCTCGCTCATCATAAACAAGGCTGCTAGTGTAGTTCGCCTTCCACCTGAACTCTTTCAAACACACTTTCTGAAAACGTGTGCTGTAAAAAGTGGAAAAGTCCAATCATAGGAGATTGATTAAAGTTCTGATCCATCCACAGGGCCCACCCACAATAAATACAGCAATAGCAAAAGCTTAACTACTAAAAATGTATGAAGTGTAGTCTCTGCTCATGAGTGCAGACAGGAGTTACGCTATGCACTGCTGCTGATATACAAGGGGAGATACGGCGCAGCAGGGGGGATGTTAGGCCTCTGATACATAGCAATGATGAACTAATGCCACATATATGATTGATGGCACATCCGCCAACAGATATATGTTTGTGTGTGTGTATATGTTTGGTTGAGGGTCTTTAATAAAAGGCACCAAGTCCACCAAACCGAGGGAAGTGTCGAGGAGTCCTTTTCTTTTTGGACTCTGCTTCCTTTAGCCACTGTTTCTTCCTCTTTGTGTCCATGTGTCCTACAAAATAAAAGAACATTTTCATTAAATATGTAGATGTACTAATGCCTAATAGATCAGTTATAACACAATAATGAAAATCTAATTGTGGGTTGCCAGGTTGTGAAAACATTCTCTGGCTGTTAAGTCATTGAAAAAGGATTTTTTGCTTTCTTGCTGAGAGGTGATGAGAAGATTGACACTACTCTCCCGTCTGTCAGTTAAACATGACACTAGCACCAGCGGCCAGTTAGCTTAACCTTAAAACCTGGATACAGGGAAAGACAGCGAGCCTGGTTCCATCCAGGGAATTTTCCAGCACTAAACCTGGTAGGTGCTATTAAAACTCACTGAGTAAGTATATCTTTTTTATTTAACAACCAAAGAGTAAAAAGGACATGCTGTAATGTTACAAAGTGTGCTTCACCGGGCACATATAACTCTATACTCCAATCAACACAATTATTCACATACAATATATTTCTTACTTTTTAAAGGAGAATGTGCAACAAATCCATATTTGAAGCTAACAAATGTTAATATATTAACTGTGGTCCAGACGCCCTGTAACCCTTTTCCAAAAGGTCAAAGACCAAATGGCCTTCAATGTTCATTTAAGAGCTAAAAAATACAAACAAGTGTGAAGCGAGAGGATCCACGTAACGAACACCAGCAGCCAAGTTGTTGTTCTTATCAATGATTTGTAACTAATCTATAAAGCATTAGTAAATTCCTAATGAACTATTAATAAAGCCATTAGTCACAGCTTGTAAGCACTCTAGAAAGAGTGAATTATAAGAAAGTGGAACAGACTTTTTAAGACTCTTACTGTCAGCCGGCAGAGGTAGTTAAAAACACACTCTCTCCGAGGACCCATATTTGAGTAGCTTGTGTCATTATCTCAGAAGGAGAATTAGGGCCTTTGTTTGCGTCCCAGCAGGAAGTATGCACAGTTAAATTAAAGGTTCCCTTTAACTAACTGAGCTGCTATTATAAAACCCTCTGTGACCGCGACTGTGTGCTGCAGATAATTGCTCAGCTTTTGTGTGTGACTTTTTGACCCTATGAAGGAAAACAGAGGGCGACCTCTGACCTGCGGTCGTTACTGCAGCGTAGAACAGAGCCGCCTAATCAACACCTCGTCCTTTGTGTTTATATCTGCCAATCAAACACGCCACTCTTCGTCATCGCCCTTTGTGTGGCCATCAGACACAAAAGCAGACAATTAGCTGCGCTTATTAAGACTCTACTCTTTAAAGGGGGAGCCCCGTGTGCTGGCAATTAATCAGTTCTGCGGTGGCGGGTGGGCGTACCTCTCGTTAGTCCCTGGCTCTGCAGGCCATGTTCCTCCTCTTCCTCCGAGGGGTTCTGGGCAGAGTTCCTCAGGCAGCGTTGGTGCAGGCCGAGGCCAGGTAGTGCATTCTGTCTGCGGCGACGACACTCTTCCTCCAAGGGTTCTTCCGCTGCCACGTCTGTGGATGTGGGCAGAGCAGAGAGGGAATGAATCACACCTAAACCCTCTCTTCTCGCTGTCTGATGGATGGCTTGAGGCATTCAAACCAAGATTATTATAATATATATATATATATATATATATATATATATATATAT